TTTTAAGTGGATAGGTGGAAGTACGGTATGATGAGTCAGAGAAACGTGTGGTTTCGGAACCTATTGAGATGACTCAAGAATTTTGTTGTTTTGATTTCGCAAGTCTTTGGGAACAACCTCAATATGCCAAAGTAAAGTCAAGTTATTAAGGACACAATTAAAGCTTTGAGAAGAAAGTCAAAGAGGAAAGTAAAAACCAAGAATGCACTACATTCTTGGTTTCTACTTTCCTCTTTGACTTTGACCTACTATATGATGTGAATCAGCCCAGGCCTAGATAAGCTTGAATATGTTCCAAAACGTACATACAGACACGGTCCTATCAGGTAGCTTTGGCACAGCCACGTAGTGCAAAGATCAAAGGATACCGTAGACCAGCAGGACAAGACAGAAAATGAAAGACTCTTTTTGGTTGGGAGTGTAGCAGAATCAGCTAATACTAAAACCAAAGTCAATAAAGTTAAGTCTAGGCGGATGACAACTACTGCTCCACAAGGGCCCGCGACTGCCTGACACAATCCAAACCAACAATAAAATGCAAGATCAAGTATTTGAGACCATAGGATTTTGGTTTGATGATGGAAAAAATAATCAACTAGATGGATACGGTAATGACGTTTCATTTTTTTTAAAAAGAGAAAAAGATATGATGGTAAGTAGAAAAAAAGCATGGAAAGATTCCTAGCAATCCAGAAGGCACGAAAAAAGTTTCTAAAATACAACATAAAAAAGTAACTATATTGAGATTTATTTTAACATACATTCCAAAGCATTTGTCCACAGTCCAAGAATTATACGTTCAATATTGCTTTGAACAAAAATGCTAGTCATAAAATGTGACAACATAATGATTTAGAATCAATATCCTGAACCTAAAGATGTTTATACTTGTTTAAAAAAAAATTTAATTTTTTTTTGGAATTCTTATGTCACATCATCACATAAATTATTATGTGAATGTAATTTTTAGCCTGTAATTTTTTATTTAGATACAAAACTTATAAGATATTCTTCTGATAGTACTTCCTCTTCAAATTTTGATCTGGAATATAAAGATATTAAATGTCATATTTTCAAAAATCTATTTTTGGTAATAAAATTTTCACAAATGTTGCAAATATAATTGTAGAAATTCTTTAAATTAATGTAAATCAGCATATAGTTTTATTTAGCAACAAACCTAAATAATGCAAATGGTGCTCCAATCAGCTTCATTTTTATTGATTCAGATCTTTCATCAATAATATATTTAATAGACTTAGTTATTAGAGTATAAATAGACAAAACCAATATCTAGATAATTCAATGTGATATTCGAAAATTTTTTGTTTGTAAAATATTTCGTAAAGCAAACTACTCTTCAACATCATTAATTGAAAAAATATTGCATGAAGTGAATTCGGCTGCTGTACTACGACGCTTTCCTGGATTCTTTTTCATTGCCTGCCGTCTCGGGGCTCCATGCCACTCCAGGTGGTACAGTTATTTGTACACTGACTAGAGTTTCTGGAATTTCAAGGGGGCTATATGGAAAATTATATTCTCGATGTAACACCGAGACATATTTCGAGATCGAACTATCGAACTCATCAGCGTCATTACTCTATATTCATACCACACGGTGAATAATTTCTTCCTGAGACCCATACGCTGCAATCCAGAGGAACAATCATGCAGACAGCAGTCACGTTGTGGTTAAGAGTTGCTGGTAGAATTCACTTGGGCGATGTTAGGTGGTTGAGAGCATTCCGAAGAATCATTCTCAATTACCCATGAACATCATACTTGTGGTAATCTCTGCAATTCTATTATATTTTATTATACTCGATTAATTTTTATTGGTTTCCAACCCAGCAACTTGATTCTGTAATACTCACCCATAACTGTAGCAGGACAGGATACTTGGTGACTCTCCGAGAGACCAAAAAAGCAATCTGGTAAGCAATCGCTTACCAGAGGATTGTGTAGGGTGCTCTTGGAGGATTGTGTAGGATTTGCAGAAGATAAAAACAAACTGCGTAAATCCATTTTCTAAACTTCGTTTTCACGCCATGCGATCTGGGTAATGAATCACCAAACATCATATACCGGTTTCGAACTTAAACGTTACTCTTGTGGGTATCAAATGCAGTGAAGAAGCCCAAAGGAAAAATAGACTTACAGGATTGCATATTCAACTGAGCTCAAGGTTGGCTCAAAAGCTAAATTCAAAAAAAAAAGAAGGCGGTTGCGTGATTCTGATGGACTCTGTAATAAAGTTATTGTCATGTGATTTGTACACTTAAATAAAATCTGACAAAAAATATCAAAAGTATCCACCCCACCATCTTCACTTTCTTCTGTAAAGTGAACTGACTTTCAATACAAGCCGGAACTGAGAAATAATATATTAAAGGATTGTCAATTAAGATCTGAAAATATCTAAGATATATTTCAATTTGTGGAGCACAGACTGAAAACTATAGAATAATATTGTACATTTTTTGGAAGTGGTTGCATACATTTTCCGGATTCAATGCCAACAAGAGCGCTGGTGTAATCTGAGTTACATCAAAACACTTTTAATCTATACGCTAATAAGAGCAAAAGCTATTTCCAGCAAACTAACCATGAGAGTTTCAACGTACCATGTGACCAACTATAACATTTCAATAAACTTCTCTTACAAGTACATCAATGGAGTTATGACTAACCATGGTGATAATGATACTAAAACTTCTAGGTCGTAACCATGGTGGGGATACACCAGAAAGAACCAAATAATATGGATAAAATAGAAGAAAATAATGACTTGTAAAGTAAATTGATACCAGAGTTGTTTATAGTAATTTCATAAAACATATTATGGTCTAATATTTGGCTGCATTCCAATCTGAATGAGAGAAAAACTAATTATTAAGTCATTATTTAGAGTTTTAAAATGATTTTTTGTATCAACATTGCTTTTCTTTAGGTCAACTTCAACTTAAATGAAGAGCGCCTACGGAGTGTTGGTGTGTAGTTATATTGATATTAAAAAAATTACTTGAAATGTTCCAATCACCTACTTGTTTTAACTTGGTAATAAAGTCGTAAGTTTCCACTCTTTTGTGTCATTAGTGAAATTGTACTATTTGAGTATAATAAATCAGATTAATGCATCTAAATAAAAAATCCCCAAGACTCAAATCGCCAAAGATAAAAAAAAAACTAAAACAGCCAAACTAAAAATTTAAGATCTTTAAGACAATTAAGATTTCTTATGAATTTTGTTATACTCATTTTTTGAATTTTGTTTTGAATTTTTTTGAATTTTGTTATACAACACATTTTTGTTAAAAAATGTGTTGTTTGAAACAAAGTTTAATAGATTTGTTATGAATTTAAATGTGGAGATTGATGATTATACTAGATACATATAGTAGAAAGTTGTTTAATCACAATTTTAAATTTCGTTACAAAAATCCAGGTGAATGTGCTTTACACAAAAGAGAGAAAACTGAAAACGTGAATTAACACGGTTGTTTCTAAACGACTTTGTCGGATTAGGAATGTGCTTTACTTTTCTCATTTGATTATGATATGAGCAAACGAGTGCAAAAATTACAGTATGACTTGTTTCATTCTAGTTGATATATATCCAATTTTTTCTTCACCTGCAAGCAAGTACGAAAAATGTGAATTCTTGAGAGTATTGACGGTTGACCTTAGCAAGTATCATGCTGGTTCTATCGTGTTCTATACGACGTGATGAACAAGCAGGAGTGCTCTTAGCTCGGACGAAATCTGATTTCAATTTTATGTTTGAGGTCGAAAGACCTCCAGACTCTGGTGTTAGAACTGTGCAATGTTAGACAGTTGAGGTAGAAGAACAATCATACCAGCAGTTGAAAAGCCCGAGTATCCGTATACTCTGTACATAGTTCTTCGACCTTTTGTTTGGTAGACTTCCAAAAAGTTGATCAGTTTATTCTGAGCCTACTAGTTATGTACCGTAATGTAGCCTACCTCCCGATTCGACCATGGAGGCCCTCCCGCTTTAGCTCGCCCTATTCCCGCTCGACCATCGGGCTCTTTCCCTCGCGGCCTCCCTTGTGCTCTTTCCCTCCCAGGGAACTTGTACTCTCTATTTTTTCCCCTCCCCTTGCAAAGGGGAGGGGAAAAAAATAGAAATGGAGTAGTATGTTTCGGGCTTCCACTCTTCTTACCCAAAAACTAGGTACTTTAAGTAAATCTATTGTAAGTAAATTATGTAAGTCACCCGTGACATTTGTGCTTAAAAAACATTGATAGAGGGAGTAGCAAATTCTATTTTTTATATAAATTGTGACCATGAGATTATTGTGAAGTAAAATTTATGATTTGAGTTTTTTCATTGATTTTGTTATCACTTTGTAATTTGTGTAATCTTTCATTATGAGTTCTCTTGTGATTCTACATCGTGTTAATACATGAATAGATTTACCTAGTTTTTAAAGTACCTAGTTTTGGGAGGAAGAAGAGTGGAAGCCGGAAACATGCTACTCCATTTCTCCTCCCCTTTGCAATGGGAGGGGAAAAAAAAATTACAGAGTACAAGCTCCCTGCGGAGGGAAAGAGCCCGATGGTCGAGCGGGAGGGCCTCCATGGTCGAAGCGGGAGGTCGGGCGGCTGGGGGAGGGGGTGCGGGCCCGGGCGGGCAGAAAGCCCTCCCGGGCAGCGCTCGCGTTCCCCCTTTTTTGAGGAGCCCTTAGTGACGAGGGTAGCCTACTGTGCGAATCTTCAAAGCAAGAAAAAAGCACAACAGGATTTGTCCTCCGAGGTGACTACCCATGTGCTCTCAGTTGTCACACTACATCCACTTGCTTGAATAGGCCATAGATTCCTGTAAAAAGGATTCAATGAAGATGACGACTGAAATCTCTGTTTTCAGCGTGACGACATCGAGTGTATCAGCACACTGATGCATTCACTCAATTATCACGCTCGCTTGCACAACAACGTCAAGATTTACTCTGACCTTCTTTAAGAAAATTTTCCAATCACACCGAGTATGGAGGAGCACGCTTGTTGTGTTCGTATGTTGTCTTGACCTCGATCATCCACACAATTTAATGAAAAGATTTGATGATTGAGCTGCGCTTCCTTTCGGAGGGTCTGTCTTCCCGTGGGTGTTGATGCAGCTAGATTCGCATTCTCACTGTCCAGTTGTACATTGAGTTTTACACAAGGCAGAGTACTTCACATCTGAGATATCGGCGCTTCCATGATTTCCATGACATTCTACGTCCACAACGCACCATCTTTGCTTCGAACCAGTTTTTTTGACTTCAGATTCACCTGCAGAGCTTTCAGCTTGTCCACTCAGGTGAGTCACCAGTGCAAATCAAACAGCTCCCTCTGTTCGATTTCACAGAAGTCCCCTTTCACACACTCTACGATTTTCTTTGGGTCCGGAATTTTAGTCATCTGCGTTCATTTGATCTCTATCGCTTGTCTTGCCCTGCACTGAGTTGGAGCAGCCCTTAAGATCAAAGTTAAGATTAATCATGTGCATCTCCTCATGCAGAGTGCAAGAAGTGTCATGCCCAGCACCCACATGCACACGAGTTGTCACACTTCGTCGGGAAGTTAGTTCTCTTCGGGTGAGCCGGTCCTTCGGATCGAGGAGGCCAGGTGACATTTTGCTCTCGCATGCCAAGCAGCAAACGTTTCTTACTATATGCGAGTGTTTGAGAGAATGGAAGTTGCAGGTGCGTCTAATGCCAATCACGCTGCTTAGACACGTGAATGGACTCTGCAGACGAGGAACCGGAGCTTCCCTCCGCTGTCCAGGGCCTTATACGGCGTCTGGAAGGAAAAGGCGAGCGTACTATAAGGCTTCCCAAATTCAGCGAGAAAGAATTTGGGAATTTCTTCCCGGAAATTGCATCCCTCTTGACGATCACACAATGGCGATGCAAAGTGCGCCTTCGAGTGCTGGAGGCAATCGGCAGCTGCAATAATTTTAAGATGCTGGACTTGGAAAGAATTTGTGGTGGAGATAAATCGAGGTTGGCGGAAAGTGAGTGGGAGGTTGTTTTGTGAGGATTTAAATCTAGCACCGTTCCAATATGGATGTACCTTTGGAACTTGAAACGGAGTGCAGATGCGGAAATGGAGAGCTTGTGTTCACATATAGGGAGAATTCTGAATTCCTCTAGCGTAGGTTTATTGCAAATACACTTTACCAATTTGAGTGCCAGATGTTGGTTGAGTCTCGCCTCAGGACTGCGAGGAAATCCCGATTCTCAACTCTAGACTTTAGTTTTAAAGAACGCGTGGGAGGACGCGAGTGCGGTGAAGCATGTGGCTGACATGATCAACAGTGCTCCTCTATTAGGACTGTTGAGAATAACCTATATAGACGCCATGGAGGAGGAGGCCGTTGGAATCCTGTCCCAGGCTTTGATCCAGACCTCGTCTTTGGAAGAAATGCACTTAGTGAAGGTGGACTGGGGAGCGGCCTTGCTGCTGAGAACTTTTGCCGGAGATGATCGCAACCGATCCATTGAATATCTTCTCCTGGAAGAGATGGATAGAATCGGAGGCTGTTTAGGGGAACTTCTTCAACCCGTCATTGAAGGAAGTGTTGTTGACGAACTTGCGGATGAGTCCTGAGGAATGGCGCCAGCTCGGCGAGTTCATAGGTGACAATGCCATAAACGTAGAGTTTTACTTAGGCCAGAAACAGAAATTCTTACATGATAGAGATCACCGGAGGTTATCTCTATTATCTTGTTGTCTTAGAGTTGAGATGATAACTGGGAGTCAATAGAAGCTCTTGCGTGTGCTCCTAGCTCCGAAGACAAGGACCCCACAGTGGAGCTTGTACTCGAGTCTTCGGGTGAGGATGAGTTGATGTTATCACTAAACCTATTAGGTAGGGTTCTGAGCTAGGAAATTAAATCTGTAAAATCTTACACTATATGGGTGGTGGATACTAGCACTTCAGGTACCAACCAAGATAGTCCGGAAGGTTTCCTGTCGATGAATGGAAAAACTCGAGAAACTTCCGTCCTGAAGAGACTCAGGTGAAGAGTTGAAAGCAAAGATTTTTGGAAGGAAGTATTGAAGGAACTGCTTTTGTGCCTGCCAGGGAACACAAGTCTCACTCACTTGGATCTGCGTAGGAAGGAGCTCGACGAAGAGGCCTTTAGAGACCTGATGGATATATCGCAAGTGAACTTGACTCTCCAGGAAATAAAAGTCTCAGGAATCTCATGGGCTAGTGGCGGAAAGGAGGGGCTGATTCAAGAGGCCCTCAAGTAGAACCAGAACTACATGTCCGTGTTCAAAGAGACCAAACTAAAATTTGGAGATGCAAAAGCTGGTCGACTCTCGCTATGCGACTCTCCTAGAGCAAGTAAAGTGCTATGTAAGTTGTCGGTTTTTCAAAGTAGCAGTCTAAGGTTTTACTTCTCCAGAATTGATTGTTAACAATAAAAAATTGTATTTTTTATTTCTACACATACTTCGAGTAGTTTAAAAAGTTTCAAAAACTTGAAGAAAATACCTCAATATCCTGATTAATTTAGAGTATTATTAATTTTTCGACAGCAAGTCCGCGACCGGCGCTGGCAGTGGCGTTGCCGTCTGATCCGCGGGGAGCGGGTCAGGCTGCCTGTTGCTGGCATGAACTTCAGCGGCGGGAGGCGGCGCTGCTGGCCCGCTGCTCGTCGAGAACGACGGAGCATCTTCGCGAGCGGGGTAGCTGCGATCTCTCGCTCCGGGGTGACTGCCTCGATGTTGTACGTCAGTCAAAATCGGTGTGCGGCGAATTGTCGGGCCGGGAGGACGCAGCAGCTCCCTGCGGATCACCGGGGCCGCTCTTGTCCACGCATCATCTCGTTCAATTGAACCTCGATACTGTAGCTGAGCGTGAATTGGTGGGAGGGGAGAGGACCTGGTCATCCAGGCCGGGGGAAGAGGAGGCAAGCAGCAGTGCAGGTGCGGTCCATTCAGAATCGCAGCGTCGACGCAATTCCGACTCCGGGACTACATACTGCACCAGTCCGAGCCAGCAATTCCAGGGCATCCGGCTCAACGGGGCGACACGAGCGGGAGGATCAGATCGTTTTTGATTCCAACGCTCGCAGCAGGAAGACGCAAAAATCATGCCCACATTGCCGAACGACAGGCGGCCAGCAGTCCACGAGCCCGCAGCTCGACGCGCGCCTCCAGCGGCCGCCACCGGAGAAATGTTTTTTAAGTAATGCCAGTATGCTCGGGTGCCCGGAAATCAGGTTCAATTGAGAACGATTGGTGAGATGACCGACCTTCTAGCAGAAATTTGTGCATGGCGGGCCGGAGCTCTATGCGGACTGTTCCTGGTCAACGTTAACGTTCCAGGGTTGGTAGGCGTTTGCTACTGCCGAGCGTGCCCGTGGCACTCCGAGCCTTTCCACCTTCGGGGACTGCGAGATCCTCGCACAAGGACCTGGTAAATAACAATTTTGTTTTGGTCGTTTAGTAGAGGGTCGTAAGTCCTTAGTGTTCGTTACCCACATCGATCAATTCACCACATAGCGATATTGTACAATATCGAGGCAGACACTCCCCCCTCCCAGCGACAGTTCGCAACTATCCCGCTCACGAGGATGTTATGTTCCCGCTTAGCAGCGGGTCCAGCAACGCCGCCTCCCGCCCGTTGAAGTTCTGCTTCCCGCGGATCAGACCGCAATGCCACTGCCAGCGTCCAGAGACCTACCATCCTTCAAAATCCGGTGTGACCCAGGATTTTGAAAGAATTACAGCATCTCCATCCGCGGGGACCCCAGTTCCAACGTCAGAGCTAGCTGTTGCGGAGCCAAAAGAGTCGCCTCCACCAGCAATCCCCAGGGTCAAGCAGGACGATGTCAAGGAATCGCAGGCTGATTCCGAAACGGCGGTTCGGGACTTGCCCACGGCTGAGGACTTCCCGCTTCTCCCGGCGGCAAGGAGTGGAGCCAGCCTCTGGCCGCAACTCCCGACGACAGCGAGCCGGCGACTGTGATCGTGGACGAAGGTACGAGTCATTCTCCTTAAAATCAGATTTTTGCAATGTCAAATCTCCGTCGAGACCCATTCCTTCAGGAGGCCGTGAGTACGCCGCCCGAAGGCAGATCGCCTCGTCCTCATGTTCTTTTCCATTCGATCCGCTCGGGAGAAGTCCGTTACATGGTTGAAATGCTAACCCGCCGAATCGAGTTCCTAGCAGACCTGACGTCGAACCTATTAGAATAAGTAAGATTCGCAAGTTACTCTTAGAATGCTAATATTACACAAGACTTGACATCTATATCAATGTCCAAAGTAGTGGACTCAGATGATCACTTATCCATTACACTACCGTTGTAGATTACTACACTCTATGTACAGGACTTCTTACTCATCAAAACAATCTCACTGATCACAAATCAGTGATTCCACCATGGTATCAGAGCATAAGTGTTCTCTTTGATCCTCTAGTTTAGATTGCGAATGCCTTAACTTGGTGACCTCAGTATTTGAAGTTTTTTTTTCCTTCTCTTCCGTTCGGAACCATGGATTTCTCAAGATAAGTGAAGTACATTGACCCCACACAGAAGCTGGACGGCATAGACAACTACACTGCTTGGGCTGCGCGAATGCAAGCCATCTTACGCAAGAAGAAATGTTATGCTGTAGTCGAACGAAGCAATGCTTTACCGAAGTTACTACCTGCACTTGCCGTTCCCGAAGGACTCACTGATCATGCACGTAAAAATGCAATTACGGCCAAGCAAGAACGAGAGGCTGCTAACGAAAAAATTCAACAGAAAATCAACATCATTCTTGAACAGCATGATGACGCTGTTTACTACATTATGATGAACGTGTGTGAGCACATTGTTCATCATATTTCTGCCATGTCTGATCCTCACCTGATGTGAAAAGAGCTAGAGACACTATTTGTGTTTGCTAGTGAAGATCGACGCCAGCTCTTGCGATGAAAACTGTCAAATCTCTCAATGAGAGAGGGTCAGTCTATCGAAACTCACATGCGTGACGTGAAAAATCTCACTAACCAACTGTCAAGCTGTAACAATACAATGAAAGATTCAGACGTTATACCTCTCATCCTGATGAGTTTGCCCACAAGTTGGTCAGGATTTGCTTCTTCCATTAAAGCTAGCATTTTTCACAATCCTTACACGCTTTCACCGTTTTTTACTCTTCTTACTGATGAAGAAATGACTCGTGAGGTTAGATCTAACAGAACCGGCGTATCAACCGAGTCTCTTATTGCCACCACCTAGCGTAAGAGACAAGACAAGTAGCAATATCATACAGATAAGAAAAGATCTACTTCATTCCAAAGATTCAACAGTGATCGTGACTACCACGGATATGATAGAAGAAACTCGAGCAATTGAGATCAGAATGAGTTTCACAACCGCCATGCCTCTCGTAACCATTCTCAGAATTATTCTCCTCAGAGATACACTAAGTCTCGTACTCCCCATTGGCGTTCTCAGGAAAGATCTTATAATAGTAACAGAAACAGTTCTTCATCGTTTGCTACTTCGAGCTTGAAATCCAGCACTTGCAATGAGTGCGGAGAAATGGGACACTGGTCGTATGAATGCCGTCAGCACCAACTTCAGAAAGAGCTCAAAGCACTTCAGATCTCTTACAACACTATCAAGAATTCAAAGTAGTCAGAGTCAAACAACATGGAATGTTATTTCGATGATCATGATGACCATCGCAAGGTTGCTTTTGAAGAAGCTGATGCTGTGTTTTTTGATAACAATGCTCCTCCTGCCGTAGACAATACAGTAGCCAACGATGCAGCAAAAGTACTTTCTTCATTTTTGAGTCAAGTAGAAGAAAAAAAGTCATGGTTTTTTGATAGTGAAGTCTCCTTACACTTAACTAGAAATAGTTCACTTCTTTCTAATTTCAAAAATCAGGCTGACCATATCTCAGTTAGAACTACAGGCAATCAGGTTCTTCCGGTTTGTGGAAATGGCTCACTTACATTGAATCAGAAGAAAGTGTCTTATGTTTTTTACGTGCTTGGTGTGAAGAAAAATTTGTTGTCTGTTGAACGTCTGACTAATCTAGGCCATATAGCACTTTTTAATTCCAAGAATTGTTATGTATTTGATAGAGGAAATCCACGTAGCATACTATTGCAGGGAGAACGAGATTCACAAAACAGCTTATACAAGTTGACTAAGCCTGGAGGTCTCTCACGAGCCATCACAGCACTGTCTTCCCCAACAAGACTTCTTCATTCCATTGAAGTTTGGAATATAGAAGAGCCTAAACTTGACCTTCAAACCTGTTCAATTTCTCAGGCAGAACTTTGGCATCGTAGGATGGATCATGCAAACTATCAAAAACTTCATTTCCTGGACTCTAAGAAACTGGTTGTAGGAATTCTCCAGATTCGTCACATTAAATCTCTTTGTGCTACTTGTATGAAATCAAAGCAAAGTCGAGATTGTATTCCCAAACACTCTCATACTCAAGCAACCCGTGCATTACAATTGTTGCACTTTGATTTATGCGGACCTCTTTCTTCTGAATCCTTAACAAAGAAACGATATATATTGATGTTTACTGACGATTTTACCAGGTATGCCTGGATTTATTTCCTGAGGACCAAAGACAAGGCACTAGAACAATTTTAGGATTTCAAAGTAATGGTGGAAAATAGTTACAGTCACAAGATCACAGCACTGCGAAGAGATAGAGAGGGAGAATATCTCTTCAAAACTTATCATGACTTCTGCGTCAACTCAGGTATTCATCATGCCTTAACTTGTGCATACACTTCACATCAAAATGGTGTATGTGAACAAAAGAATAGGACTGTCTTGAGATGGCACGAAGTTTACTACTTTATGCTCAATTACCTAAGGCTCTTTGAGAGTAGGCCGCAAGGACAGCTGTTTATATTTTAAACCGATTGTCAACAAAAGGAGTGCAGATGTCAATACCCTTTCAGTGGTTGACAGGTCTTATTCTGAACGTCAAGCACTTTAGAGTCTTTGGATGTGCAGCTTCTGTCTTACTTACAACTAGGTTCGACAAACTTTCTGCAAGATCCCTACCAATTACTTTTATAGGCTATGACAGTCAGTCAAAAGCCTATCGTGTGTATGATGCTGTTAACAAAAAATTTATCTCAGTAGAAACGTAAGGTTTAACGAGTCTATTTTTGAACTTGCAGCCCGATACGATCCTGAACTTGTTGACGATCTAGATATTCTACTTCCTCAGAATAGAAAACATCAATCAAGAACTTGCTCTGTCAGTACTAAAAATGCTCTACCTACTGACGATACACCTCACTCATTTTCTGAAACTACATCTACTCAAGTGATACCTCCGTTCATTCAGGAATCTAGTTTATCAGATTTAGAACAACATCAACTCCTTTTATCTCGTCTCACCTTACCCACCTCCACAAGGTGAACCCACCATTGAGATTGAATGGTTCCAAGACTCAATTCCTACGGTTGACAGTCCTGACATAAGTACAACACCTTCTTCTGATACTATTGTAGGAGATGTGTCAAATAGTCGGCCGATCAGTCCCCGCTCCAGGGGTCCTCTAGCTTAATGGAAAGACTACATGAGTTACAGTGCCAAAATTCCTGAAATTACACTCAACTGTTATGAAGTTGAGATTATCGACTACATGGGAGAACAACTCACCTTTGACAAAGCTATCAAGATTCCTGAGTGGCACACGTCAATGGTTGATGAGTTGAAGTTCATTCATAAAAACCGTGCCTGGACCTTGGTTAAATTACCACGAGGAGCAAAGGCTATAACATGCAAGTGGGTGTTCAGGGTTAAAGAAAGCCAGAATGGTTCTACATCACGTTTTATAGCGAGAGGCTTCCAACAAAAGTAAGGTAAGGACTACACCTTACTTTTGTTTACTTACTTACTTTTGTTGGGTGTTGTTACATCATACCTTTGCTCCTGTTGTGAAGTGGTCTATGATAAAATCTGTGTCCGCCATTGCTGGTGCTTGCGGATGGCCAATTTGTCATCTAGATGTCAAAACTACCTTCTTAAATGGTGTTATTTCAGAAAAGATCTATGTACATCAACCACCTGGCTTTATTAGAAAAGGTTTTGAAGATTTTGTATGTAAACTTAATAAAGCACTTTACGGTTTACTACAAGCCCCAAGGGCTTGGTATGAATGTATTGACTTATATTTAAGAGAAGCAGGTTGGACACGTTGTCACTCAGATCCTAAACTTTATGTTTTAAGGAAGTATTGATTCATAGTAATCTTAATTTTTTATGTAGACGATATGTATATAACAGGAAATTGTCAAGTAAAAATCTCTGAGATTAAGTCAGATCTAATACGTCAGTATGAAATGAGTGATTTAGGTGAAATTCAGAAGTATCTAGGAGTTGAGTTCTCTCGATCACAACAAGGATTATTACTCCATCAGAAGTCCTATATCATCAAAGATTTAAAAGATTTTCATATGCTTGAATGTAGGCCATCTACATTACCAATCGATGGTGGAAAATACTTGACAGAAGATACCAGCACTACCTTTGTTGATCCTACGTTCTACAGAAAACTAGTAGGCCATTTGATGTTTGCTACTAATTCAAGATTTGATATTTGTTTTGTTGTGGGACAACTTTCAAGGTTCATGACAGCACCTCAGAAGGCTCATCTTGATATTGGCTTCCAAACCTTGCAGTACCTCAAGGGTACTTTAGACTAAGGAATATTGTTCAAGCGTGGTCATCCACTACAACTGCAAGGATACACAGATGCCACGTGGGGCTCTTGCCAAGACACATTCAAATCTACTAGTGCTTACGTTATTACACTAGCTGGAGGCGCAGTATCATGGTGTTCCAAGAAGCAGAATCTCATCTCACTCTCCTCTATAGAGAGTGAATATAAAGTCTTGTCCTTTGGTGGACAGGAAGCTGTTTGGCTACGACAACTCTTGCATGAGATCAATCCAATTACAGTCTTTTGAGACCCACACCTCTCTCCTGCAAGGATATTAAGATCACTTCTGCTCTTTCCACTCTCAATTCACTGACTAACTCCACAATGGTTCATTGTGACAACCAGAGTGCTATAAAACTTGCTAAGAATCTAGGTTTTCATGCAAGATCAACGTACTTGGGGTTGGGGGAGCTCTCACTACCCAATTTGTGCAATCCGAAAGGTGAGTGATACTAGCAGCAAGTTGAAGTTCTATAGCCGCTACTGTGAAGGCATCGAGAAACATGTACCTTGTACTTAGCATATCGATCACTCTCAAGAACTAATCTAGTTGCAAGAGTTGCC